AATACATGACTTTTGCTATACGTCTAGACATACACTATATTTAAATTAAGTACAATAGATTCTATTATGTACTAAAAAATGCAGCACGACTTATAATTTAGAACAAAGGAAAAAAATACAAAGCAACCAGGTTGTATGATACTCAAATTATAGCCGTGACCAAACGTGATCGCTTAAAAATGGGCAATGAGTTCACCTTCGAGTAACTTTGAAAATTACTACATATAGTAAGCTACATAAATGACTAAATTGACTACTCCCATATAGGGATGTACTACATAAGTTTCAAATTATAAGTCATTATAACTTTTTTTAGAGAGTCCAAGTATTTCAAGTTTAACCAAAATTATAGAGAGAATTATAAAAAATTATGACATCAAATATAATTAATAAAGAATCTAATGATACTTATTTGACATGATAAATGTTTTTTATTTTATTATATGAAATTTGGTCAAAGTTGAGATGTTTTGATCTCTCTAAGGAAATTAGAAAGACTTATAATTCAGGATAGTGGAGTATACAACATTCAAATTTCATTGTCAGTATGACTTCACCACTACAGCAAACTTTAGAAAAACGAACAGTGCAGGGAATTGTACAAGTAAGCCTCGCCAAATCGCAATACGCCAATGACAAATCTTTTGTAGGGTAGGGCACAACTGCTGAATTGTCCTCGGATCGACAGCGAAGAAGCTTCGCGGAAACCGATGCTGCTAGGCTGCTAGCTCGCTCTCGCCACGGTCAACTAGGCCGGGCCCTCTTTTTCCGTCGTCCTCGTGAAGCCTATCTCCGAGCTAGTCACTTTACAAGACGGACTGACGGAAGGCGATTAGACATGCCTAAGTGTGATTAGTACCCACATATAAAATGACATAGCCCGATGACCATGTGCTCCGAGAATGAGATTGACAGGATCAACTGGTGGTACGGGTACCGGGGCAATGCACGCAAGGTGACTTTTTTTTCTATTTTTGCAGGCCCTAGAAAAGGAGAAAAAATGGGAATTTTCGTAGAGAACGTGGTACACAGGGACAGGGTCGTGTGGAGAATCTTGCAAATGTTCCTTGCGTCCACACCACACGGTTCCCTCCTCCATTGGTGGCCCGATCTTGGCCTTCTTCTTGTGAACTGGTCAGCACTGTGGCGCGCGCATGCGATGCAGACAACATGTATGAAGTGGTCCGCGAAGGCGTAAACCATGCATGCACATGCGTTCACTGCGGTGCCACCGTGCCAGTGCCCCATAGCCCTACGTGGCACACAGCCTCTCTTGAACTGTTGCACAGTGAGTACTCATCCGTTGGCACAGCTAGCTGAGCGCTGCTGCCACCGTGTGTTCTGCACTCAGTTGAGCAACATGCATGCAGTGCAGGTGCAGCATTGTACTTGTACGTCCATGCGTCGTCACCGCGGCGCTGCCGACTGGTGAGCGAGACCGGCCGGGACAGGACAGGACTGGACACGCGCAAGACCTGGGACTTGGACTGGACGGAGAGGCATCGTTTTCAGGGACTTCTACTTGTCCGTGGCATCGACGCGGTACATACATATACGGACAAGCGTATCCATTAGTAGGTGACTGGCTGAGGTTTTCAGAGTAGTTGACTGGAGCAAGCGTACCAATCGTACCACTGTAGTAAGTAATTTACATGTATGTAATAATACACAGCAAAATACCAGCTACATCGTCGTCTTATATGTCCACGCGAAGGAAAGGGAGAAAAAAAAAGGAGCAAGAACAGGCAAGGGAACAAAGGGGAGAAGAGCAAGAACAACTATTCTAGCTTGCAGTCGTCGTCGGTCGTTGTCTTCCATGAATGATGAATTGATGGAGCACGCAAGCGTACCAAATTGATGTTTCCGCGCATCAATCCCGTGAACTCTACGGTGTCTTCGCCCCGGCTCGATCTCGGCGTCGGTCTCCTTCCTATGTCAGGGTGTTGCAGAGACCCGGCGGCTTGCAGTTGCCGTCGGGGGCGACGGCAGCGGTGGCGCCCCATATCTCGGCCATGTTGGGGAAGTAGCACGCCGAGAGCTGCTCCAGGGCTCTGTCCTGCAGCCCAGAGAAGAAGTCGCCGTACGGGAACAGCTGCTCGCCGCCGCCACCGAGCTCGGGCAGGGGCAGGAACATGTCCCCGCCGTCCAGCGCCGCCGCCGCGGGCGTCGACCAGGCGCCGTCCAGCTGCGCGGCGACTACCGGCGGCACGGGCGCGAGCTCCGTCCGCGGCGCGTGGAAGCGTATGAGCCCGCCGGGGTGCTGCGGCTCCGTGTACGCGGCGCCGAAGCGCACGTCGCCGCTGGAGCTGGTGACGGACGAGGAGGCGGGCGAGAGCGCCGGCGGCGTCGGCGTGGCGGGTGCCGCGAAGGCTCCTCCGCTGCTACTGGCGCGGCCGGCGACCGCCGCCGCCGCCATGGCCATGGCCTTCTTCTTGAGCTTGGTGTTCCAGTAGTTCTTGACGTCGTTGTCGGTCCGGCCGGGGAGCTTGGACGCGATGATCGACCACCTGGCATGCAGCTCGGTCGGTCAGTCCAGCGCGCAAACGGCTGCCGGAGATCGCAAAGGGTTATCTGGATACAGACAGTGCGACCCACCTGCTGCCGATGGAGCTGTAGAGCGACCAGATGATCCGGTCCTCCTCCTCGGTGTAGCCCCCGTGCTTGATGTCCGGCCGCAGGTAGTTGAGCCACCGCAGCCGGCAGCTCTTGCCGCACCGGTTCAGCCCTGGGGACAATGCAAAGCAAGCAGCACACAAGGGGAAATAAATAAATACCGTGTAATCCTAGCCTGATTGGCTAAATCCTGAACAACCTGACGACGATGATGGATCAGGCTGGAGTGTACTGGCTCCTACCTGCTTTCTGCGGCAGGGCGATCCAGTTGCCGCCGATGCCGTTGCGCTGGACGTAGCTCCGCAGCTGCTCGTCCTCCTCGGGGGACCAGGGCCCCCGCTTCACGCTCGCCTTGTCGCAGCACGGCGCGCGCCCCATGTCCGCCGCGCGCGGCACACCGCACACGGCTACGTAGTACGTACGTGCACAAGCTGCAGCTGATCAGCCGATTCAGCTCTGCACTGCACTGGGGGCTGACAGCCTCGCTCTGACCTGACCAGTGGTAGCCGTACGGGGGCGCGCAGACGCAGAGCTCTAGTACGAGACGGGCAGCGGGTGATGCGCTGCTCGGCTACGGATTTTATAGCGAGGGCTGGGCTGAGGTAACGGGGGGAAGTCAGGTCTGCGGCTCTGCGAGGGCGCGAGGCCCAGCACCAGCAGCCGCCGTGAGCTCGTCCCGTTCCGTTCCGTGGCCGTACGGTACGATGGCTTCCGTTCTCCGATTGTCACCTACGTAGAGTAGAGTAGTGGGAGTTGGTTCTTTTGACCAAGAAGAAAACGAGGAATCGTCGACCGGCCGGCGATTTACGATTCCGCGGCGCGTTCTTCCAAACGCTAGCGGAAGAACAACTTGATGAGAAGATGAACTCGCACGGAACTCTCTTTCTCGGTCGAGATTTTAGCCAAAGCTGTTGCCGATACTGCATGACGAAACCTGTACATGCTGTCCAACTAGCCGTATGCACTCGTATGTCTGTCATAACCATTGACCATGAGTGAGACGTGATTCGATCATGGTCCAACTCCAGCTCTCCGAACCCGCGACGACTAGCAGTGCATATGCATGGTTCGATCATGGCGCGAGAGGGGCAAACGCAAGGCAAGCGTTGTTCTAGGTGCCCCGGGAGACTTCGCGTGCATTTTGCTGCAACGCGGCGCCATTTCAATTTTCATCCTCGCATACTCGCAAGACACACGGTGCCACGCTGCACAGCACAGCATGCAGAAAGAAACGGCTGCCTTGTCTATCTCTTGTCGACGGCAATTTTTTTTTAGAGTTAGTCGATGGCAATTGCTGTATCAGCACCGCCGGCGCGCCGCAGGCTGGGAGAGAGAGGCCGGCATTGGCAGCGCTGGGAGGCGAGCGGGCTGGGCTCGCGCGACGCTTATCACCACGGGCCACCTCAAACCTCCTTACTTACACCCAGTTGACGGGCTGTCCGGCCCACGCATGTATATGTATAAATTTATTTTGTGTATTTTTCTCGTGGAACAGAGCAATTTGCTCTTATTCGCCTCTAAACGAAAAAGAAGAGCCGCTTCAGAACCTCGACAAAGTGACATAAACAATGGAAGAACCTGTGAAAACATTGCTATCGAGGATTACGTGAAACATCACGCATTGACTAGAAAATATGCCACTTCGGTGGACAAAAAGTTGCAACGACTAAGGCCTTGTTTGGTCTTTACATGCCATTCTAAAATTCCTATCACATCGAATGTTTAGACAAATATGAGATATTAAATATAAACTAATTACGAAACTAATTACATAACTTGCGACTAATTTGTGAGACGGATCTTTTAAGCCTAATTAGTTCATGATTTGACAACGTGGTGCTACATTAAACATGTGCTAATAATAGATTAATTAGGCTTAAAAAATCGTCTCGTAAATTAGTCTCCGTAATTGGTTTTGTAATTAATCTATATTTAATATTTTTATTAATATCTTAATATTCGATATGACATAAATTTTAGAAACGACTAAAGAATCGAACATCGATTAAGAACTCAGAGTTGTTTGTTGTTATGCGGTTATGCCAGCACAGCAAAAAAAAAAAAATATAAACAGAATATATTCCAGCTGCTGCAAAACCAAGCAACAAATTCATCCTCGAAAAGCCCAACCCGCGCTCTCACTCGCTCACTGGACCGGGCCCATGCACCAGAGCTCCCCGCGAGCGATGCGACCAAAGCGCTGGCTGCTCCCCCACGCTTCGCGGTTCCCGGTAGACGAGGTCCACTCGCCGATTCGTCTCCGAGATCTCCACCCACTTATTCCCCCCCACCGCGGCCAGGCCTCAGTCCTCTCTCCCCCCCCCTCTCGCGGAGCCGCTGCAACCCAGGGAGAACCCCGGAAGTCTAACCCTAGATCCGGACGGGCCATGGCGTCTCGCCGGGTCGCCTCCTCGCTCCTCCGCTCCGTCTCCCGCCTCCGGGCCACCTCACCCGCGGCGCCGCGCCCGCGCGCGCCGCCGCACCGCCCGTCCCCTGCCGGGTACCTCTTCAACCGCGCCGCCGCCTACGCGTCCTCCGCCGCGGCCCAGGCGGCGCCCGCCACCCCGCCGCCGGCTACCGGGAAGACCGGGGGCGGCAAGATCACCGACGAGTTCACCGGCGCCGGCGCCATCGGCCAGGTGTGCCAGGTGATCGGCGCCGTCGTCGACGTGCGCTTCGATGAGGGCCTCCCGCCCATCCTCACGGCGCTCGAGGTGCTCGACAACAACATACGCCTCGTGCTCGAGGTGGCGCAGCACCTTGGCGAGAAAATGGTGCGCACCATCGCTATGGACGGCACGGAGGGGCTCGTCCGCGGCCAGCGCGTCCTCAACACCGGCTCCCCCATCACCGTAAGGACGCCCTCCCATTTCTTCCTTGGTTATGGTTGTGCTTTCCATTTCGTCATGGTACGGAACGATCTGATGAAATGTAGATAGTGTTAGATTTGATCTGGGCATACAGATCTGTGTGGCCAGTGATTAAATTTTAGATCTTCTGCTGTAGTCTGAACACTGATAGCTTAGCTGAGGCATTATCTTGTTTAATGGTGTCACTATGTTTTATTGTCACGATGTTCATAAATATTCAAAAACTGTTGTTGCATGCCTATTTTTGGCCCCATTGGCAAGTGTAATGTAGAATACTCGCGGTGTAGTTTGCATGAATACTCGCCGTGTTTATGATTTCAGGACCTCACATTTATACCACTGTCAACCATGTTTTCTGACTTCAAAACTGTTCCTGTTTGTAGGTGCCTGTTGGCAGGGCTACCCTTGGACGCATCATAAATGTCATCGGTGAGCCGATTGATGAGAGGGGTGACATAAGTAAGTGTCTGGACTTATGATATATTTTGCTTGAAGGTGTATGTGTAAGAACTTTTGATAACCTTCTACCTTTGTATATTTCAGCTACAAACCACTTCCTCCCTATTCATCGTGAAGCCCCTGCTTTCGTCGAGCAGGCCACTGAGCAGCAAATTCTTGTTACTGGAATCAAGGTAGGCGTGTTCAGTTCTCGTGCTAGAATTCGTTTTGGAGTCCTCTAATTTAGTAGCACCTATGCTGCCATTGCCTGAATGATGATTATACATTATAGTATAATGTTTCTTTGACATACAGGTCGTGGATCTTCTTGCACCCTACCAAAGGGGTGGAAAGATTGGTCTCTTCGGTGGTGCAGGAGTGGGTAAAACTGTGCTCATTATGGAGCTGATCAACAATGTTGCTAAGGCACATGGTTGGTACTGTACCTAGTTCATTGTCAATTTGGCTCAGTTTCTTGTTGGATTTGCTGATTGTGATAGCTGCTTTGTTTCTATGTAGGTGGTTTCTCTGTGTTTGCTGGTGTTGGAGAACGTACCCGTGAAGGTAATGACCTGTACAGGGAAATGATTGAAAGTGGTGTCATTAAGCTAGGTGACAAGCAGGTAATTCTTGTGATGTCGTAATTTCATTGTGAACTTGGCATATCAGGGCTGGACCTTTCTCATACATTGCTTTTTGTGGCAGAGTGAAAGCAAGTGTGCTCTTGTCTACGGGCAGATGAACGAGCCCCCGGGTGCTCGTGCTCGTGTTGGGTTGACTGGTTTGACTGTTGCTGAACATTTCCGTGATGCTGAAGGACAAGATGTGCTTCTGTTTATTGACAACATTTTCCGTTTCACTCAGGTAATTTCCGCAGTGCATTTCTTTCGCCTGAAAATGATATACAGCTTTTGGAGCGATTGTCTTTCTAGTTCCCTGTTTGAATATTGTGTTCATGTTAAAAATCTGGTGTTAATTGTTGCACTCTTGATATCAGGCAAACTCTGAGGTGTCTGCTCTTCTTGGACGTATCCCATCTGCTGTGGGATACCAGCCAACCCTTGCCACTGATCTTGGAGGACTGCAAGAGCGTATCACGACAACAAAGAAGGGTTCTATTACGTCTGTCCAGGCTATCTATGTGCCTGCTGATGACTTGACGGATCCCGCTCCCGCCACTACCTTTGCCCATCTTGATGCTACAACTGTGTTGTCACGACAGGTTTGTCCATTTGGTTTATTTGACTGGTGCATTAGGTACATGATGGGCTCATTGTGACTTGGGTGCTTCCTGTGCAGATCTCTGAGCTTGGTATTTATCCTGCTGTCGATCCACTGGATTCCACATCAAGAATGCTTTCTCCCCACGTGCTGGGTGAGGATCACTACAACACTGCTCGTGGTGTTCAGAAGGTTCTTCAGAACTACAAAAATCTTCAGGATATTATTGCTATCTTGGGTATGGACGAGCTCAGTGAGGATGACAAGTTGACAGTCGCTCGTGCAAGAAAGATTCAGCGTTTCCTGAGCCAGCCTTTCCATGTCGCTGAAGTTTTCACGGGTGCTCCAGGGAAGTATGTAGAGCTGAAGGAAAGCGTGAAGAGTTTCCAGGTACAGTTTAACCTTTTTTTTTGGCTAAGATGAATTCCTCACTATGCTTTCTCATAATGCTTCGATATGACGACACTTGGTGCCTGCTGAGCTGTGCCATATTTTTTTGAGGCCTCATATTTAGTTTTATCAGACAACTCTTACATTCTATACATGTTGCAGGATAATGTTTCTATATCTCCAGTTATTGTTAAGTAATGCAAGACTTGTTCACAATGTGCTTTTCTATGGAATCTTCTATTGTGCAGGGTGTTTTGGATGGGAAGTATGATGACCTCTCCGAGCAGTCATTCTACATGGTTGGAGGCATTGAGGAAGTCATTGCTAAGGCTGAGAAAATTGCCAAGGAGTCTGCTTCATAAGAAGGCTTCTTGTTTGTCGAATCCTGTACAAGTTCCATTTTTGGATTTTAAGCGTTTATTTGTGCTTTTCGCAGTTAAGCAGGACGAGCTGGAGAGCCATCTCCTGCTGAGAGATGCTTGTTTTTCTCTTTTTTGCTCCTCCACCTTACACCCAAATAAGCAAGTGCAGTAACATTGATTTTGACTGAAGAAACTTGTGGCCTGTGTGATGCGGATCCATCAGACCATTAAGTTATGGCTTCTGGTTGGTAAAATTTGTTGCCCCCCAGGTTCGGTTCCGTATTGTGGAGGTATCTTTTTCTGGACTGGCTCTGCGGTAGTTTCCGTGGTATTCCATCTTGTAGTGTTGCAAGTTTTATGATTGTGCAACTTCTGGCCGGAGTCTGTTTAATGTTTATACACTTTGGATGTAGATGGCTGAAATGAAAATACTGCCCTTCAGATTCACTTTGAATCACGTAGCTGTAATGTATTTCATTAGTAATCATTTAAATCTAGAAAATCACTTTTCACTGGTTATAGTCATTAATAAAATGAATGTCGCGAGGATTGAAGCGAACGGCCGATGTGATTGAGCCACACATACTGCGGTATCTTGAATAAGGATATAGAGCAAGGAAAACAAGATAATCTTTCTGAGAGTAGAGCGTGTTTGGATTCTATAGCTGTTATCATAAGACATGAGTTCGGTTCGCTGGTAAGTAATGCAAAAAAAAAAGTCTTTCTGATTACTATATTAAGGAGCTGTTTAGGACTTCTCCACAAACTCTACGCTGCAAACTTTATCATAGAGCAGCTATATGAAAAACTTGAGTTTGGAGATCTCTTTAGGTGCGCTTACAACTCTACTCTTTTTTTTCGAATAGAGTGTGTGGAGCTGAAACCGTTTGACTTAAAAACGTGAAGCGGAACTAAAAACATAGAGCAGAGTGTTCCAAACACCCCCTAAACATTGAAAATCTGCATATTTACATGTTCAAATCTACGAGGCCAAGAAGCATTCTTTGTTGCTGTTGCTTTTGATTGATTACATGATCCATTTCTTGTTAGGTGCTTTCCAATATGGATATGTTGTTGAAATATCTCTTGTAGCAGTATGATGTGTATTACGGTTAATCGATTAACAGATCCGATTTAACCGAAATCAGTTTTACAAGCTCTTTTGTATTGCAACCTACTGAATAAAAGCACTGCATAAATGTCAGTGCAAATAATTTCTGGACTTCGAAACCTGAAGAAACGGTGGAGGTATTCGTTTGGAAATGGTGCTGGTCGTGCCGGTTACCAGAGAGCTGCGCGGTGCAGGAGTAGATATGCAGGCCTTGCTCTCTGATTTCTCGTTCACTGTATTTGATCTAGCGCTGGAGCATTATTAGAGCAGAATTTGCAAGCGCTGAGATGCACCGTACCGTTTCCTATCAGATGTTGGTGTTTGTTGCCTTAATGGCCGGGCCTGCGGCCCTTTGTTTTTTCGGCCCAAAGTCGGCATCTGAATACGCTCGAACCAAGGTTAGTAGTTTCTTTTACAACAAACTCGATTAACACTTCTCCAATTAGTTGGTTAAGTTTCCTGTGGTAGAAGCTGTCCATCCAGATTAAGTCCTCGACTTGACATATGTGCTCGTATTTTTCTGAATTTATTATAGGATTTGACGGCGCTATGCTTTCAGTGATAAACGACGTCTTCGTCGCTAGCAAGGCGTTTGTGGTGACTTCGTGATTTTCAAGATCTGCTGGCTCAGTCATTCGGAGGTGCTCATAGGATAGGGTTTGCGCACGCGTGTTCATAGGGGTGAGTGTGCGTGCGTGTTTGGACGTCTACGTTCTACCGTGTAATTTTAATTTTTTTTGATAACCGATTTAACCGAATCGGTTTCACCGAGTTAATCGAATATCCAGGCTATAAACGACCAAACGTGCTCGTAGGCCCGTTACTAGAACATAATGAAGCCTCTAAAATATGGTTTCACCGACTTAGTTGCTTTTCTGATAGAAAAATGGTAGCATCGGCGTGCTACATGAGTCATAAATAATAAGAATCAGAGTTGTTTTCACTGGTGCTGTGCTAGGAGCTGAAGCCATATCAAACACAGCCCTATCAAAAGGCCTTGGCTTCAAGAAACGACAGTCTTTAGAAAAAAGAAAGCCTCGGAAATCAGCAGTCTAAATATGTTCTAACATACTCAAGGACCCAAAAGAGACGGAGGTACCTCGAAAGATGCAAAGCCTCCACTCAGATTATAGGAGGGAGCACCATTTGACAGAGGCCCTTGCCCACCCTACCGCCTATGTGCATGGACGGCGAAGCCGAGAAGAAGACATCTAGGATACTTGGAGCAACAACTAACTTCTTATTTCCTCCGATTTATTTTATCTAACACAAGTTAGAATAACATGATCTCCTAGATTACACTTTGACCATTTATTTGTTTTATATTATATTATTTATGCTTATAAACCTATAATCATTGGATAGTATAATTCCTTACAAATATAGTCATATAAAGTTTGTATTATAATAGTTAAAAATTATAAGCCTAATTATTGGTCAAAGTTTTTAAAGTTTAAATCTTGATATGCGTGTGCGCCAGATAAAATGGACTGGAGGTAGTAGATGCCAATGTCGTGGTGACAACTTCTCCTCTGACTCCAACAAAAAAAAACTTTCATAATTGCTTAATTCTGAGTATTCAAGATTTGATTCTCGGCGTGCATGCAGAAAAAGACAAAGCAAACCTCGAGGGGAAAAATGAAGAACTCACCTGCTGTCACCTCTGGAGATGATGAGGTTCATTAGCGTTAGGTTTTGAGGGTTGGGGTTTAGAGTTTTTCTAGGGAGAGGGAGGGTTCCATGGCTTCCAAGCTTAGAAGGAGGTCATTGGATGAGCCGTGGCTAGAGCGACGGAAGAGAACGACCGTAGGGACGCCACCTGCCGAGGTGATGGGAGATTGTGGTTAGGCAATGTAGGTATTAGGGGCGTCACCCAGAGAAGGAGATCACACGTGACGCGTGGCATTAGTGTCGCCGGAGTCAATGGTAGCCGGGTGGCACTCGAGCCGAATATAAAGAAGCTAGATCCTATGATTACTAACGGCTGCGGTTGGGGGTGACAACGCCATCCGAGCTGGATAAGAAGCGATGGCGGTAAGGGGGGTGTAGAGGTGAGGTGGAGTGAGGACGAAGAGAGAAGATGAGCCGCCATAAATGTTGAAGAGTGCAGGCATACCCGGAGGTAAGGTCCCAAAACTTAAGCTGCCTGCCTCATCCATGACAAACTAACGTGTGTTTGGTTCGAGGTCATAGTGGAATGGAATAGATCTAATCTAATTTTTAGTGAATGTCCTGTTATTTGTTTTGTTAATAGGAAAAGCCAGTGTCTATTTTCTGTATGGTTTGTGAGATTTAAAAACTCGGGATGGATGCCCTTTTGTCTTTTATCTACGGGCCCACCTGTCATATAGTTCCTCTTTTCTTCCTCTAGGAACAGACTGCAATCTCCTCAAGTGTGCAATCCTGATTTCCTTGTCACCGCCTGTCGGGGACCAATACTAGGGTACCCGAAGAGGAGGAGCTAATGACCATCAACATTGATTCATCCGAGCAGTCAAGAGCGCGACTACAGCTCCAACCGACCCCAGGTGCGCGGGCTCCGCCTCGCCCGACCTCTGGGGAAGGTCTCCGCCTCACCCGACCCTGAGGCCGCGGGCTTCGCCTCGCCCGACCCCAAGGTTCGCAGGCTCCATCTCGCCCGACCTCAAGGCCATGGGCTCCGCCTCACCCGACCCTTAGGTTTGCACTCCGCCTCGCTGACCCCTAGGGTGCGGGCTCAGCCTCGCTCGACCCCTCGTGTGTGGGCTCCGTCTTGCCCGACGGGGTCCCATACCGCCACCAACCACTCCAGGTCCCGGTGTATGGGCTGGGTCAAAACTCTGACACTAAGAAAGCGACCGGCACGCCCCGATGTAACCCGTGGCCATGACGGACCATACCTAAGGATTCACATCAAGAACAGCGTTGGACGTGCCGGTCTGTTATGCTTAACCCTCTTACGAACGCTGACAGGCGTGTTAGTTCACCACGACGCCCGCCGGGGCAGAATGGGACGCCATGACCGGCAGATGGTGCATGCGCATGGCATCAATGACGAATAGAGCCGCGACGTGGAGCCATCCTGTTGACGTCTACATGATAGGTGGGACCCGCATGAAGGAGAAGAAGGACCCGGTGGTCCTGGCAGCCTTCTTCTCTCTCACGTTCTTCTCCTTTTCCTCCCCTGTAACCCACGCTTTCCCTTGGCCTATAAAAGGGAAAGCAGGGCGCCCCGTGAAGGGGATCGACCCATCAAAAACTAATTAGATCCAAATCCACACAAAAGCACGACACGAACACACGGCTGAGTCGCGCTTGAGCTCTCAGCACCCGTTCACTACTTCCACCAAAGACTTGGGGATCCTTTTCCTCTCTCACCCGTTTGTAACCCATACTACAAACTTTTAGTGCTAGTAACACGAGCAGCAGCAACGAACTGGACGTAGGGACTTTTTGCCCGAACCAGTATAAACCTCGTGTCCTCTAAGCACACCATCCGAGCTAGACGCGCAATACTATAAATTTACTCGGTGGTGGTAACTCGAAACACCGCCACCGCCACATGAGAAGTGCTTGGCCACCTCCCCCGCCACTGCTTGGAAGGTCCTCACTCGCGCTGTCGGTCGAAACGTCCTTACTCGCGCCGCCGCTCAGAATGCCATTACCCTTGCACCGCTCAGAAGCTCCCTACCAGTGCTGCTAGGAAGCTCCTCTCCTGCACCGCCACCCGAAATCTGGTCGCTAGCACCAGCTCCCTCAAGCGGATCTCCTCTCCCGCGCCGGCGCCCGCACCCGTATAGCTCCTTGACCACGCCGCTCTAGAGCCGCCTGACCGCAACATACGCCGAGGACGATGCCTCACTCCATACAAAAGGGACAGCCCATACCTTGGTTTCAGGGGACAGGCTTGCCCCGTATCTAATGCGAATCTTTGTTCGAGGACGAGCCTGTTCTACATCGCCCTTGATCCAAACAACATGAAAATAGGTACTGTTCCATCCTATTTTGTTCATCCCCAGAGGTGGAGCTACAGTGACTCATGAGTGTTCCAAGGAATATTCAGTTTTTGGTAGAACATCAAGTATATATGTATGTATACATTCATATGTACAATTTATATTGAAGTTGTTTTCTGATTTTTAGAGTGAAAACTTAGAGCCTGATTGGTTGATAGCCAAATTTGGTTGCGAAAACTTAGATAAGCCAAGATTTTGACAGCCATTTGGTTTGGTACCACAATTTGCTAATATATCTCACAATTGACATGTCAAATCTATAGCAAATATTTTTGTCCAAGTTTTGACAATTTTTTCTTGCCAAATCTTGGAGCAAATTTTGGTAGTGGACCAATCAGGCCCTCAAGCCCATAGGCGACACACCGACACCTATCTATCCTCCTCCTCTTTTCCAGACCGCCCAAACGAAGGCCAACGGTTGCACACCCCTACCGAGTGTCGACTGTTGACCTCCCGATTCTTCTCAGGCTCTAACGGTCGCACGCCCAACAAACCCCTGTCCCCAGAGACCAGAGATTCAAAAAAAAAAAAAACGATCCCCACTTCCCCAATCTCTATCTCCACGACTGGAGTTCGGTGAAGCTGTAGTAGGGGCGGCGGGGCGCACGGCGACGGCGCTGCTCTTGGCCGACGGCACCTCTTGCCAACGCCGAACGCCGGGTCCCTGGGTTGGGCTGGTCACTTGCACCTGGGCGGCTGGGGCTGTGGTGTGGTGGCCGGCGGCAGCCAGGAACAGCGGCCTGCGCCAGGCGTCAGGCGAGGAGACATTTGCGTCAGGGCGCGGAAGACAGCCGCCGTTGGTGAATGACAACTTTGCATCTCCTTCTCTTCCGCTCCCAGTTCTGCTCGTTCCACTGAGAGGCAACAAATCCTAGGGTTTCTGCTTCCAATCCGCCGCCGATGCCTGGCGCCAAAGAGCTGGAAGCCGCCCGGCGCGTGGCGACCCTCACCTTGGCGGAGCTCGATATCTCCTCTTCGACGTCCCCTCCTTGCTCCAACCTCCCGGCGCTCCTTCGCTGCTGCCTCCAGTTGCTGCCTCTTCTCAACGCCGGCGATCCAAGCCTAGCGGCTCGATGCTGCCACGGCCTCCTCGCCTCCCTTCGCGCCATCCTCTCTCGGGATCCCTCGCCATCCCTCCTCCCTGCAATCGAGGTACCCGTTTCAGTACCCTCTCTTTAGTTGGTTGCGTCCATTCCTTTTACCAAAGATTTAGGAACTAGTTTCAAGTGCTGATTTCCCGTTCCACTGAAATGTTCTGTGAGTTGATTGGTTTGGATAGTTGAACTTTCTTCTGGTTCTTGCAGGTTTTCGCTGAGAGTGTTGTTGCTAGTGGCCAATTGAGGAGCTGCTTGGTAGCAGCCACCTATGCTGCACCGGAAGGATCAAGGATGTTCACTGAGGCCCTGCCATACGAGGATGAGCACATCATGCTTGAACTTGTGTGCCGCCACTTAATTTCATCATTACTGGATGAGGGGGCATTTGAGGTGTTTGTGAGTGCACTTTCTTGGTCGGGGAAGGCATTGCAGCAGACACCAGAAATCAGCTTTCAGGGGGCTTTAGCGCTGGTTCAAAGGACCTGGTTCTTCTCGTTGCCAGCTGTTGTACAAGCACATCTCTTACTGCTCATGTCTAGATGCACCAGTGATCAAAATCTTAACTCGCATATGCTAGCATTTCAGTATGCCATGAAACTTTATGTCAGATATTTACCGGCATTGTGTGTTTTCAACAGAACTGGTGGTGCAGAAGCCCCACTGAATTATTTGGGCATGAAAAGACCTTTTTATAGTTGTATCAAAGATACCACTGAGCAGAAACTCAGAAGTCAGATCGATCGGCTGCTTTCGTTTTGTGAATTGCACTCTGGTGATGATCTTCCCATCGGCGTGAGTGATATTGGTCGCGTAATTGAAGAGAACCAGCATATGTTTCATGAAAAGTTCAGGCAACAATGTACTGTGGTTGTGAAGGCCATATTGTCTAGTATCCTATGCTGTGCAAAGCAAAAGGAGGTGCTTGAACCCGATGCTGAAGTATCTGATGAGATTATTTGCCTTGCTGCAGCACTTAGGGTAATGGGCTCCTCAATGCAACACATCCTGCACCATTTCAGCCAAATGAGGTCGGCCACTGACAAGAAACATAACAAGGAGTACAAGATTATATATGAAATTATCAGTTTGCTTGGGCAATATGAAACAAATGAGCTTCATAGATATGACCTGGCTATTACTGGGAAGTCTGTGGACAGTGAAAGTGCCTCAATGCTAATGTTGACTCATTTTGCTAGTTTATCAACTTCTTGTTTAAGGAAGCTTGGCTTCCTGTGGAAAGGTTGTATTATCATGATGATGATGGCCACAAATCTTATTGCTGAAGAGCAAAGTTTGAGTACATTTGATCTCCCTATGGATGTCTCAAAAGAATCTGCAGTTTTATGCAATACCAAAGTGGGGATCTCAGAGGTAGCACTTGCCTATATCATATATTGATCCTTCCTAGTTCATATTGAGTTGCCTTTTTTGCATTATTTTATCTCTACAATATCATTTCATTTGAGTACCATGTATGCAGGTTTCTGCTCGGACTAAAGAGATAATATTACGGTATAAAAGCATGCATAGATTTCGTGGTAAAGGCAGGCACTTTTATGCTGATGGAATCAGGTAGGTTCTGCAACTATATTTTCAGTTATTGAAGCTTTAGGTCCACAATTGAGAAACTTGTCTTTGTTTTATATCTTAATTTGGAAATGAAGTCAAGAACAATATCTTCTAACCCCTCCGTTCCAAACTATAAGACGTTTTGGCTTTTCTAACATAACTTCTACTATGCACTTAGATATACACAATGTCTAGATATATAATAGAAGCAATGTATCTAGAAAAGCCAAAAACGTCTTATAATTTGGAATTGAGGGAGTAGTATTTATCTTAGCTTCTTTCTATTCTCATATCTGTTACAAGTGTTTACTTTTTTTTTTTGTGAACTGGAAGTTAATCCTTAGGGAAGAGATTTCTTTTTGAGGTTGCATCAGTAATGCTTTGATATAAAAAAATGGCATGGATGCGCTTGAACACATGGAAAGCTTTGTAGATAATAGAACAGTAATGGGTTAAAGAAATTTTGATGGCAAACATAGTACATGCTCCATCTATTACTAAACTGAATTTGCTTATAGAAACTGAACATTTTTACCAATGATATACACTAAGGGCATGCACAATGGTGCCGCATCAGCCATATCATAACCATGCAGATTGGCTAAGTCTTAGTTGGACGTGGGTGTGAGGGAAAGAGGTCTTCTCTTAGAGATTTTGTGGTGTCTTCCAGTTCTTGCATAGTTACATTTATTCAATGGAAACACAATACTAGATTTAAATCTTGTAGACCCGTGACATTTTATTTTTGCATACTTTCTCCATCCCAAAATATTTGCACATCTAGGATGATGGTGAGCAGATTAGTTGCAGTGCAGAACTCATGAACGAGTGCATGGGAGCTTTCTGGACTCCCCTGGACGGAGGGATAAGACCGTTGTTTTTTTTTCCAGAGAAGTTTTTTTTTTTTTGGTCTCACGCTGATGGGACTGGTGACGGGCAAGAGCAGTAGTGCTGCACATTGGATCTCCCGAACCTATATCACCTACTATGTGACCTTTTATTTTGGGACAAAATTTGAATAATAGAAGTCCAAATATTCTGGGATGGAGAAAGTAAGTTAATACTCTATTAATAATATTATTAAAAACAACACTATTGTGTATGTCCCTTTTCCCATTCTGGCAAATACACTTTGATTATGTTTCAGTTATGCGAACTTAATGGGGGCCATGCATTATTAATTTGGATTTACTGGGGCCACGAATGTGCCCCAAATTAGCACCCTGAGGGACACTACCCTCTTCTCCCATTTGACCAGTAGTTCCTGGATTCCTGGTGACTATTGGTGGGTGTATAGCAATTTTAATCAATAAATGGCGCAACATTGATATTAAGACCAGAATGCTGTATAAAGTTCCATTTAAATGTATATTATAATCTTTTTTGAAGAAACTGTCTATAGGAATGTCAAAAGGACAAGTAGTCTTATAAAAAAGAAAGAAAGAAAGAAAAGGGACAAGTAGAAGATGTCAAAAAGAAACTGTCTGGAATGTTTACTGGTTTGTACCACTATTATTTGCATCTTGTTATATGTAGTCAAGACCAATTTAATTTAAGCCCTTCTACCAAATTTGATCAGAGTGAGTTCCTATAGATGAACAAATTGATGATGGTGGACTGTTTTGCCGTTCTCATCTTTAGACACTTTTTTTTGAACATGTCGGAGTAATACTAGTTTCATGTGTCGTGCGTGTCTATTAGCTGCTAATAATTGTTTATTTTCAATTATGTTATCTTGTTGCAGTCTCGGCACCCCTGAGGAATGTAATTCCAGAGTTGGAAAGGCTAATGGTCAAAGGTTTTTTGAGTGTCATCCTGAATACTCACGAAACTCGTGGGCTGATATACTGGATTGCGTTGAATGTGAAGAAGGAAAAGATTATTCAAATGCCTTGAAGCAACATCAAAAGTTTAAGATGTTTAAATATGGGAAATGGCTCAACCAGAGACAATCTAAACGGCAATCTACCATGGATATGTTGGGACTGAAGTCAAGGAGAAGGAGCTAGTGTGGCGAATTTGCTGTATCATCAAGAATGCTGGGAAATCCCCGCTGTATAGCTGAATGTCTGAATTCCGTGAGCGATCTTGTCAGAAACGCTAGTCTTGGTCGCTACTTGTAGTTCAGTTCGGTGGTTGACCCACCCCGTGCAACTTTGTTGAATTGGCAGGCAACCGTTTGGCGCTATAAAAGGGTTTTACTGTGGTATTGTGGGAGTGAAGCCTATTGGCGTGCCGTTGGATGAACGAAATAAGAAGCTAGAAATGAATTTAGCTGGCAAGAGCTTCAAAACTTGGCTTGTTTAGGTCAGTCAACAACTCAATATAATCATTACCCGCCAAAAAAAAGAACTCAATATAATCATTCCGTCAGGGAAATGAAAGCTTGCATTGAGCACTACTGCCGCGGTGAAGATGCTAAAGGCATCAATATTTGCCAGAACAATAGAATTTTCAATAATAGACGACACATTATTTGCGAGAACAATAACAGACAGCCCTAGTGTACTACTACTAGTACTACTCAACATGCTGTCTAATAATACTCTAATCCCTCGATTGCTGCCAGGTGCTGAAACCACTAAGAAGGTTGACTAATGAACATATACTACTATGCTGCACAGGTCAAACCTTTCCAATCCAAACAACTATCTGTCAGCACCCGTACCACTACATCAGCAACCTAGGAGGATAACGGGGACGACGACGGCCAGCCTGATGTTCACGGCGACATTCAAGCCGAGCATGGGCCGCGTCGAGGAGGGCGTGACCGCAGGCCCAACATACGAGTCCATGGGCCGGAGTGGAAGTGACTGACCACCAGCTGGCGAGAGTGCCGTGTCATTTCAATATATGTAATCGGAGAGAGGGGAGGGGGGAGGATAACAATTATTATAAACAAACTCTATAACTCTCAAGCACTCCTCTGTTCTTCATCTAAGAACTCATCCTTCCCCAAAATTCCTGCTTGTTCTTCTGTTGATTACTTGCTATCCAGTATCCCCTACTCTTCTGCTTACATCTGGTATCAGAGTCCTTCGATTCCTCCTTCGATTTCTTCCGCCATCCTTTGTCCTATCTTCGATTTGTCGATAGCTTACAAACGCCTTGGGTCGTAGAGATCGAATCGATTCCCCTCGATCCCGATTTTCATAATTCCCGGGCACATGAGCAATTCGTTTCGATTACCGGCGCTGGATCGTCAGCCACCGCCGCCGCCACCGCCCCCCCATGCATCCTCACTACACGCACTTCGCTCATAGTCACGGCGCCATGAACCCGGACTCCAAGCTCCTGTTGGACAAGATGCATCGTCTCTTCAAGCAGAAGACTCAGATCGAGGACCGATTCGCTGAGGCGGATCGGAAGCTAGACTCGTGCTTCACCAACAGTAGCCGCCTCCTGGAGCAGCGGTTCGCCAAGGTCGACGAATCCATCACCAAGCGCCTCGCCGACTCCGACCTCTCCTGTGTACTCGTTGGCTCTATTGCAGGAGGAAGTGGCAGCTTCGACTCCGAAGACTGACACCACTAGGCTGGGGTTCAGACCACATCACAAACCGGCGCTAGCACAGCCGCGGCTACCTGGTGCTGACAAGGTGATGGGCGACAAGGCTCCTACCAAGGGCCAAGATGACAAGCTTTCAACACTTCGGGCCTACCGCCGTGCCCAGGGTCTCTGTGAAGTCTGCGCCGAGAAATGGGTGAGAGGACACAAATGTGCTGCTACTGTTTCACTGCAAGCAATACAAGAAGTTTGGGCTTTCTTCAATATTGAGCCAATCTTTGAAGATACTGATGAATCTGATGAGCAGTTACTTCTGGCCCTGTCACATGATGCTCGCATGGGATCCCACGCCCAACGCACTATTCGGTTTCACGACACTGTTCATGGGCTTTCTGTTGTTGTGTTGATTGATTATGGGAGTTCTTCGTCATTTCTGGCTGCTTCCATTGCTGATCAGTTGCCTCAACTGGCTCAGGTTCCTATGAAAGCTTCAGTGAAAATTGCTAATGGACTCATCTTGAGCTGTACATCTGCTATTCGGGACTGTCAGTTTTCTTTGCACGGTCACCCATTCCAGCATGATTTAAAGATTCTTCAGTTGGACTCTTACGACCTGATTCTGGGCATGGACTGGCTCGAGCGATACAACCCAATGGAAATTCACTGGAAGGCTAAATGGATCTCTATACCTTGTGATGGTACTCAGTTGGTGCTTCATGGGCTTTCTGCCACATCTATAGCTGACATGGTTTTCCAATTGCTTTCAGTTGAGATGCTGTCCAATTTAGTTCAGTCAGATGTGTTACCATCAGACATTCAGCATATTCTGGATGCTTTTCCACAAGTATTCACGGTGCCTGACAGCTTACCACCAAAGCGTGCATGCGACCATGCTATACCGCTAATCAGTGGTGCTACACCTGTCAATATTCGAGCCTATCGATACCCCCCCGCTGAAGGACAAAATTGACACACAAGTTCAGAGTATGCTAGCTCAAGGCTTAATCCAACCTAGCTCTTCACCGTTTTCTTCACCCGTGCTGCTTGTTAGGAAGAAGGACGGTTCATGGCGCTTCTGTGTTGACTATCGCTACTTGAATGCCTTGACAGTCAAGTCTGTGTACCCAATCCCAGTGTTTGATCAGTTAGTGGATGAACTTGGACACGCTAAATGGTTTTCAATCTTGGACTTATACTTTGGTTACCACCAGATACGATTGCAACCAGGTGAAGAACATAAAACTGCCTTCTCGACACATGCAGGGCATTATGAGTTTACTGTGGTTCCCTTTGGACTCTGGTGCACCGGGAACTTTCCAAGGTGACATGAATGTCACTCTCAGCCCTTTACTGTGCAAGTGCGTCATTGTATTTTTTATGACATTTTGGTGTACAGCTCTTCCTATGAGGAACATTTACAACACTTACAACAAATGCTAGATCTCCTCGCCAAAGACCATTGGGTTGTCAAGCTCAAGAAGTGCCAATTTGCCAAACAAGAGATACACTATTTGGGCCATGTTTTAAGTGGTGGAGGCGTTCATACCGACCCTGCCAAGGTCACAGCGGTTCAAGAGTGGCCACAGCCAACCAACGTTCATGAGCTACGTGGGTTCCTGGGTCTCGCCGGTTTCTACAGAAAGTTTGTCTGTAATTTTGCAGTTATAGCGAAGCCGCTCACTAACTTGCTCAAGAAATACACCTTATTTGTGTGGACCTCTGAAGATTAATTGGCTTTCAATACTCTCAAGCAAGCTCTTTGTTCAGCACCGGTTCTGGGGATTCCAGATTTCTCACAAGTCTTTGCCATTGAGATTGACGCCTGTCAGACTGGTGTAGGGGCAGTGCTGTTGCAAGATGGCCACCCACTCGCTTATGTTAGCAAGCCATTGGGCGCCAAGAATCAGGGCCTTTCAACATATGAAAAATAATATCTAGTCATCTTGATAGCAGTGGATCAGTGGCGCTCTTACCTACAGTTGGCCGAGTTTGTCACCTACACTGATCAGAAAGCATTGATTCACCTCAATGATCAGCGATTGCATACAGTTTGACTGCAACGGGTATTCACCAAGTTATTGGGGCTGCAGTACCGCATCATCTATAAAAAGGGATGCGATAACAGTGCCGCTAATTCTCTGTTTCGCAGGAAACATCCTGAGGAAACCTGTCGTGCCATTTTTGTGATTACACCGCAATGGTTGGATGAAATCATCTCCGGGTATCAGCAAGATTCCCATGCAACTGCCTTGCTTGCTAAGTTAGCCACAAGTCCTGATGCCGTACCCAATTTCACCATTGACAAGTGGCTACTTAAGTTCAAGCAACGAATATGGGTCGGCAACAACCCTGCCTTGCAGCAGAAATTGATTCTGGCACTGCACAGTTCGCCAGTGGGGGGACATTCAGACGTGCCGGCAACCATCAAACGCATCCAGTTGCTTTTTGCTTGGCCCGGCATGAAGAAACTTATTACTGCCTTTGTCTAGAGATGCCCAACATGTCAGCAAGCCAAACCGGAACGAGTCAAATATCCAGGGCTGTTACAGCCACTGGCAACTCCTTCGGCTGTATGGCAGGTTATATCCATGGACTTTGTTGAGGGTTTACCAATTTCTCATGGATTCAATTGCATCTTAGTAGTGGTTGACCTCTTCTCCAAGTACAATCATTTTGTCGCTTTGAAGCATCCATTCAGTGCGCTATCTGTTGCTAAGATATTCAACAGCACATACATCGTGATCGGATCTTCACTAGCCAGCTTTGGCGCGAGTTGTTCCGTTTGGCAGGAGTCGATCTTCGTCTTAGTTCCGCATATCATCCGCAGTCTGACGGACAAACGGAACGAGTGAATTAATGCATGGAAACCTTCCTCCGCTGTTTTGTTAATGCTGTTCCGAGCAAGTGGTTTGATTGGCTACATCTTGTAGAATACTGGAATAATACAACTTGTCATTCGACAATTAACAGATCTCCATTTGAAGCCTTGTATGGTCAGTCTCCCAGGCAGCTCGGTATTGATTCCACCTCTGCCTGTTCAGTTGATACTCTTGATGACTGGCTTCAGCAGAAATCAGCTATGCAGTCTCTGATACAGCACCAGCTTAGCCGTGCCAAGAACCGGATGAAGACTCAAGCTGACAAGAACCGCACTCAACGTTCATTCAGCGTGGGTACATGGGTTTACATCAAATTGCAACCCTATGTCCAGAGTTCCGTCGCAACACGAGCCAATCAAAAGCTTGCTTATCGCTTCTTCGGCCCTATCCTAATCACTGACAAAGTTGGAACTATGGCTTACAAGCTGAAGCTGTCGGATTCATCTTCCATCCATCCGGTGTTTCATGTTTCTCAATTGAAGGTGGCGGTACCGGTAACCCATATTGCTCAACCATTACCCTCTTCACTCGATGGTTTGCAGGTTCCTGAGCGCGTGCTGCAAAAATGCGTCGCCAAGGTCGGTGCCGACGTCCGCCTTCAAGCTCTCATCCAGTGGTCAGGC